ACTAATTACATGTGTCTCAGAACTTACTCCTGTTATAAAAACAGTATTGCAAACATTTTCATTAATATTGATGCACATTAATGTAAATATTAGATAGTACATTTTGATAGGCGTGTCATGTAATTGAAATGAAAACACACATACAGGTACATTGTGAATATAGCAGTATAGATGAACGGAGAAAGGCAGGTAATAGGTTGTATTTCTATTCGTACGAAGATATTTCTCCTGTGTCTTCAATTCCTTAAACAAAGTCTCAAAACGACATATTTGAGAAAAAATTATACTTTATTCAAATAAATTATAAATATATCGTGTCTCTCAATCAATGGTATTCAACATTAAAAATAATGTATATATAATATATTGTTTATTATTAAATGTGACATACCGTCGGCAAATTTAATTCAAAAAAAGGCAATACAGACTGAAAACGATAATTTACAATGGAAAGCTGTAACGAACTCGCACAAGCTTCGAAAACAAAAGATATGTGAACCGACTTGTTAAACTTCCGTGGACAGATTCACTATATTACGGTTATACACATTCGAAGGAGCTGTATGAAAACGAGGTTCATAATGTTATGTATAAATAATTTAATCTTGCTGGTAACAAGCATTTTGATTGGCTTAAAAAACTATGTTATCAGCCCATAACGTAAAAAATGACTTCGCCTTTTGTAACGTCGCTTTTGATTGGCTGATACAGCGGCGTAACAATTTCTAAAAGAAAAGGGTCCATCAATGAAAGTAGATTTCCAAGGGATTGTGTAAAGCAGATGAAATTATAAGGATTAATTCGCGATTTAAGATGAGAGCACACTCCGTTTTTTGTGTTATAGCTCCATAACATAAAACATATATCCAAGGTAATCCTTAAATATTATTATTATTGTGTCACGTTGTTAGGCATACTAATTACATTGAGTAAAACTTTGCTGTGTTTAATCAAATAAAAGGATATATTACGTCTTTTCGTATTGCAGAGTTATCTGCTCTTGTGAGCAGATATTGATTGTTACGTCATTAGTTTATGTGAGAAAATTACGTCGTTTTCTCAAATATCTATGACGTTACTCTCACAAACAAATGACGTAACAATCAATAACTGCTCACAAGAGCAGATAACTCTGCAATACGAAAAGACGGAATATATATATATATATAATTGTACATGCTTCAATATGACTGTTATATAAAAACGTATTTAAACAGAATTTTAGTATGACATGTATAGCTATTGTATACATACAATATTTGCATATTGCTCTATGTCATCTCATAGTAGTTACTCTGTGACTTACCATTTAAGTGATGGCAATCATGCATATACCAGTAACTTTAATCAGGAGGGGTGTGAGCAGACTAACTCAAGCCTATCACGTGATCCCCTTTCTTACCTCAATACGTGTGAGAGGTTACCTGTGTCTGATCGTACTCTGATTGTTAGGTATCTGTATTTATAGCGCCATCACACTTGAATACTATGTAAAAGGAGAGGAAAAATTCACGGCTAGACCGGGGTTCGAACCTGGGACTATCCCCACTCTAGACGGAGGTTCTACCATTAGAGCTAAATAACGAAAACTACTTAATGCTGTTTCTTTATGGACAATATATCCAGAGTAAACAAAAGACCGATATTGTGTTTTTCGGTTCAGTCTTAGAAAAAAAACCTGTTATGAAACTCTCCATGGTGTTTGATAGAAGTATCTTATCATCATAATTATTAAAGGAAATTATTTCAATTGTTTAGCAACTGAAATTTTGTTTGTTGTTTGTTGTTCACTACCTGCGGAATTAGGAACTATCTACTTATATTACTGTCGACCTTTATTGCATTTGTAGCAACTGGACTGGGTCGAACTTCGGCGACCAGGTATCTCATTAGGTTAGAGCGTCCGTCTAGAGGTCGGAGGGTCCCGGGTTCGAACCCCAGTCTGGCCTTCGCATTTCACTTTTTCCTGGTACAAAGTTTGAGCGCAAGGAAATATTCCCGCGGAGAGTGGTATCGGATCTCGTTTATCTTCGGGGTCGAAGACTTTATTGAAGGAGGGAAGAATGTACAGGAACTGGATTAGGTCGATTGTCGGCGACCAGGTGGCTCATTTGGTAAGAGTCAGTCTAGAGTTTGGAAGGTGCGGGGTTCGAACCCCTGTTTGGCCGTTGTATTTTCATTTCTCCTTTTACATAGAACACAATACATCTCCACCACACATGCAGACATACACACATATGCTGATATTAGCAAGGTGGCATAGGACTAGTAGTTTGCGCCTGATAAGGCAGCTCCTGCGAATTCCTCAAACATTGTATATCCTAATTGTAAACCTATGTACTGTAAAGCGCTTTAGAGTGGCTTATGTTAGCTAGATAGGGCGCTATATCAAATGTCCGAAAGTCATTAGTGATAAACATAGGAAGGGAGACAACTCGTACCTATCTGTCTCCCTCAGTAGGGAATGGAATCATACAAAATCTTGAAACAAATGAAACGTCATTATCAGAACAAAGAAATATCATTTACTCGTCTCCATCAAAATACTCCAAACATTGTCCCGAACTATTTGCTACCTGTATGTTTTTCTGTGTATAACTCTATCAGAAGTTATATCTATATTGTTTGGACAGGTTAAACAAATCGTGACTGGCTTTAAAGACAAAAGTCTTAACGGTCAGATTTGAAAAGAGAAATATTTAAAAAAGGAGTTTATGTAAAGAATTGGTGAAACGATGCATAATAAGTTAATAATTGAAAAGTGCATCAAATAGCTTGAAGACAAATAACCTTATAATAGAAAGTGAGATTGGCAAATGAAAAAGCATAACAGATTCCTATGGCAGAAAGCGTGTAATTAGGGGAAGATAATCGAGGAAATTCGATTCGTATCAGAAAACACATTTTACAAGAAAATGTCACGCTACAAAAAGTATCAAACTTTTTTTCAATACTAATTAGTATGCAAAAGAAAATCTCGGAAAAAGCACTTTCTATGATAAAATGTTTCGCTTTTAACTCCACCAGGAACTATAGAATTAAAAGATGAACCATAAGTTACTATCTGCTTTTACTAAAAATAAATGCTCTTAAATCATTCTATTCATATAACATACATATGCATTACACAACCAGTAAACATCGGTTAAAAGTGTCATACGTTTTCTTCTAAATGGTTAAAACAATGACACCTGTCTAACTCGGTACCCTTCTGTATAAATAAAAAAGTTAGATTAGACAGGTTGTCAGGATACAGTACTTTTATATGGTAATTGTACAAAGAATGTATATAGACACTGTGAATATTGTTCAGACCAGGTCCGTAAATCAGGGATAGACCTAAACTGAAGTCCACAATTGTTTTATTATATGACATTTTACAGTGAGATTAATCATTTTTCAAGTCTTAAACACATGGATGGCATTGGACCATTTTGGAATCCCAGAGTGAAGGACTTCAAATACAAAATAACATACACAAAAATTCAATTTCAGATTCAATTCATGTGATATTTAATTTCAAATAAATATTATTTGCACAATAGACATTAATTTTCACGTAGTTCAGAATTTGATGAGATAGAATTCAGTAGTGTAATTGGTAACAGATTTACAGCCTGGCTGGGAAATTACCTATTTTCAGTAGCGGTTTGTAACACTTCTCTATTCATAGAACGAGGTCTGTAATATATTTACAGAATCGTCACATGACGTCGCTCCTCCAATCAGGGCTGGGAATTAGCACCAGTCAAATAATAATATAACTTATAACTATATAATTTCATTAAACTTCTGAGCAACAAAATACTTAATTTTCGACTTGTGCGATATATCAGTACCATTTCTCAGCATGATGATATCGGGAACTTGTATCAACTCATACCTTAAAATAATGCAACATACCAATAAAACTAGTATATTTACAAAATGTACAAATATATGTGAAAAACATTAATAACGATCGTATGAAAAAATCCACAGACATGTTTATGAATAAATAGGTATTTTCAAATTTCCTATTTTTTTTTGTTTTGTTAGCAGATTAAGTTTTAAACGACTTGTGTACCGGTACCACTGGTAGTTCTTATCACGAAGAAATATATTTACGTCACCAGTGACGGTGACAATGGTTATTTAACACTAAGGTCTCCAAGGACGGATTATAAAACATCTTAAAGGACCCTTGTCACATCTGCAGGCAAAACACTAAAGAATTCCACTATGGTTTTTCGTGCATACAGTAACCTCCCTTGTATTTACTTTTGGATACAACTATAGCTGGACTTGCCCGTTGATTAGGCAGCTCAGTTTGTTTGAGCGACAGTGATCGAGGTCACAGTGTTCGAATCACGGTCTGGTCCCGTTGTCGTTTCACACCTTGACCATTTTCAGTTTTGAATTCTGTTGTTTTTGTTTTGATTTTGTTTTAGTTTTTCTTTCATGAAAATCTCACAAGGTATGATTTTCTTTTCAGATTTTTTTTATAAAAAATATATCCATGCTGAAAAAATTGTTTCCAATGCATAGTAACGGTTTTATAATGATGATGATCCTTAAAAACACTGTTATACAGCCTTGTAGAATAAATACATTGTACTATAGTATATCTCAGCGGAAACTTAGTTATTTTATCCTTATTCATAAAAATGAAGAAATATAGGATACAATGCACTGACTGCATACAATTAATGGAGCAAGTTTGATTTGGTATAATATTATTGTTTAACGTCCTATCAACAGCTATGGCCATTTAGGGACGGCCTCTCCTGTGTTCAAGATGCATGCGTGTAATGTGTGCGTGTGTGTTTTGGGAGGCTGCGATATTATCGTTGATGCCGACTTTATAGTGCTACCTCGCTAGAACATACTGCCGAAGGCACCCAGCAGGACACCCCACCCGGGCATAACAAACGCATTATGTCAATTACATTTTATAAGAGGCACTCATTTTGAAGATAAATTCCTGTCACTATTTTGTTTATCAGCACTTTTGAAGAAGATGCACAGCCATCAGAATTGCTGAAATTCCATATAATATCCCGCCGACAACAGCTAACGCGTAAGACCACGATAGCGGAAGTGACGTCTTACAGCCGTAAATGATCACACCCAGTATTGCACAGCAAGCTGAAGTAAAAAGAAACAAAATATATCATTCGTCGTGTTATTGTCAGGGTGTAAATTGCTTTAACAGAAGTAATAATTGACCAATGTTTCTAGTATTGGTGGTCATTTACGAATAGTCTGAGCTATTAAAATATTAAATTTGGTGCGATATACCAATAAATAATTTCGCTTCAAAATACAGCTGTTTAATCACTCTTAGGGACATCAACATCTACGGACCTCTGATAATCATAATAACAATATATGTATCTTGGATTAAATTAACATTGGCATGCTTTCTCTAGGTCGAAATGACTAATTCGTCTACTATGTCAAAATATCTGTTCCGCCCCTTTTTGAATGAACGCTCTCATTACCCTATGACTGTATTACATATGTACGTATTTAATATAGCTTGTTGTCATGACTCATCTTGTACCACTGCCATTTATATTGTGAACATAATGTTGTATTAATGCATATTTGTAGATAAAGATATTATACTTAGCTGGTGACCTTCTTGTACTCGTCTCTTCCCAATGGGTTCAACATTAAATAGTCTTACCTGCAAACGCCACGGCGACAAGACTGGCGATATATAGTGAAACGTTGTACGATGATTGTGTGACGAAGATATAAAAGACCAGGAGGAGGAGACCAATAAACCCTGCTACTAATGCTAGGGACTCGAACGCCTGGGTCGCTTCAAAGTAACCTGTAACATAAATAAAAACCTATAAACCCTGCTACTAATGCTAGGGACTCGAACGCCTGGGTCGCCTACAAGTAGCTTGTAACATAAACAAAAACCTATAAACCTTGCTACTAATGCTAGGGACTCGAAAACCTGGGTCGCCTCAAAGTAACCTGTAACACAAATCAAAACCAATAAACACTACTACTAATGCTAGGGACTCGAACGCACGGGTCGCCTCAAAGTATCCTGTAACATAAACAAAAACCTATAAACCTTGCTACTAATGCTAGGGACTCGAAAACCTGGGTCGCCTCAAAGTAACCTGTAACATCAATAAAAACTTATAAACCCTGCTCCTAATGCTAGGGCCCCGAACGCCTGGGTCGCCTCACAGTAACCTGTAACACATAAAAACCTTTAAATTAGGAAAGATTTACATGGTGAGCTTACTAAGGGTTATAAGACCAGGTGTTCCGGAATGGTAAGCGTCTTCTGCTTCACCAACGACACCAGCAATGTTTATCTAGGTCAAATGTACGTTAGATTACGTCCTCACACATTATACATTTCAGCTACAAGGCTACAGTCAACATTATTTCCTTCCAACACAATTCGGGTTGCAGTGTTAAATTAATGGGGAATCTTTCAGCTGACCCAAACTCTAAAAGACAAAAGATGTTGATACACTTAAGAAGAAATGCGTCCGTGATAGTGTTTTCCGGATGTGAACTGTTAAAACAACATGTTGTGCATCTACAAGCGTAAACACTAAAGCGTCTTAAATACCTACAATTTATCATTATATTTAAAATACTTTAAGTCTTCAATTTGCCATTGCTTCACCATGATTTTGTAGAACGACTGTACTTCTAGATGTAAAAATTTACTTGTCTCTGAGAAATACAATGATTTTCCATGCAGTACCTCAAATAGCCTTCCTTAATTTTTAAACTCCTTTCCGAAGACAAAAGTCGAACAACCATGGAGGAAAAAAACATTGCCGATGACAAAATCATGACGTCATAATATCAAAGCGTAAATGGAGCCAAATATGTGGAAGCTATTTTTGTTCGTCGATTTGATCAATGATAACAAGTAATGAATTCCAGTCAAAAGAATATTTTACTACCGGGAAAACATATCTTATAATATCGCAGTTTGAAATACAGATTCACCTAGAGTGGTATGGAAAGAATACCTATGAAACCAGGGAAATGTTACTATTGAAATTTTACTTAACATGGAAATCTATTGGAAATACACACTTGTATAACACATACAGTATAGTAGGATTACCGGAATTATTTCCCTCGTTGCACGCAGACAAGTTTGTTAACTGTTGTTTACGCCATTACAACATAATGTAATAACTTGACATTCACCAGATCTGTAAAGATATGCGCGTGGTTAATTGGACGCGCGCCAAATGCCAGATGTTTATAAAATGCCTCAATCTCTAATACAGAAAACGAACATCGACTCATTTCGTGTGTGGTGATAATTTGACCAAGTAATAACATTTTTTCTCTGGCCACACGTTAACCCTCTATAAATTATTATAGCTAAGTAAGCTTGTACAAAGAAAGCTTCGGGGGGGG